CGCCGCCCGCTCCGCGCTCGGGAGGAAGGGCCCGGCGGCTGTTGACAGGCTCTCGGCGCGGCCCGGGAAGCAGCCACCGGCCCCGGGCTTCTGGGAACCGGTTTTGCTGCTGTGTCATTTCGTACCAGCGCCTCCTTTCGCTGCTGCCCGCCGCCGCCGCGTTCTTCCTACGCCCCTTTGTATGGACTCCTCGGGCTGTGTGTCCGTTTCCCTCGCGAAGCCCACCAGCCAAATGTCATAATGTCCCCGCGGTGCACGGGGAAGGGAGCGGGCTGGGACTCAGCCTGGCCAAGCAACGGTAAACAACCATCCGAGTGCCGGTGGACCCGGCTGTTGGTGGGGGAATAAAGTTGAAAGATGAAGGCACTGGGAACCCTTTATACGCTCAGCCTCTAGCGGGCTGTGTATAAAAACGCGCCGGGAGTGGGTGGGAGACAGCGCTTGAGTAAGCCAGAGCCTGCTGACTTTTATATGGAGTTGTCATTCAAACAAGGTAGGGAAATGAAATGGCTTCTGCTTCTACCTTATTCTTAGGTAAACTTAAGACAGTAGAATAGCCCTGTTCACAACCCTGAGATTCAATTTTAGGGCTTATGTTGTAGCTGAATGATAAAAGAATACAGCTTTTGAATTGGCAATTATTAAGGCTTTCTGAAATGAAACCGCTAATTTTTGGAGAATGCTGGTCCCATTAAGAAGCCTTGCAGCTTATGTGTTCTTATTCCTTAGATGATTAAGCATTCCTTGTATCCTCTTTTGGCTACTTATTAAACTAAACGAGGAGAGGAACTGGAAGGGGTGGATAGGTCATTCCGGAATCTTGTTCTAAAGCAAGCTGTTTATTTTCATTGCATTGAACAAGTGTATCAGCAGCAGATGGTTCTTAATTTGGAAACTTAGATCCTAAAACCATTTGGCAAGGGATTCTAGCGAAGAGCTGTGTTTTCTGTATGTTAGAAGGCGATCATTCAGGTTTCGTTCATGTCTCCACAGTTGGAATTAATCACTTTAATTCAATACACTTTAAATTTAGTGGCACTTGTACAACTTACACCAACGACAAATTGACGTAATGGTGTTGTTCATGGACAGAAGTGGCCCAAGTTAAGTGGAGAGGGGAGTAGTTCAGAACTCTATTCTTAAAAATTAAAAACAAAGCAAAACAAAACACTGTGGGATCAGCACCTGTAATTAAGGGGTGCCCGAGAGTCAGACACGCATATGGAAATAGCTGTACTGTCAAAGTAGTTCTGGGGGTGGAGAAGAGTGCCAAAGTTGGTGAGTGGCGTTAAAGGTCTCCGTCTCCGAAATGTACACAAAACACGGTCTGCCATCTCAAGTGTCTTTCTGGAAATGAAAGAGTTTGGGGTCTTTTCTGTTGTTCTTGTGTCAGATTCCGCATGGCTTGCCCTCTTAACAGATATCTAGGACTTGGAATCTCGCAGGTATCACGACTCCCGTTGGCGTTCCTGCAGGGCCCGCGGGAGCTGGGTGTCTGGTCCTGGGGTGCTAGGTCTGGCTCTGGCTCGGCTCGCCGGTGAGCCCTAGAACCTCCGGTGCGCGTTTGAAGGTTGGCGGGGCGGGCGGGAGGTTTCCCCGGATATGTGGGTGTGTGCTGCTCGGGAGGGCGGGCCGGGGCGGGAGCAGGAGGAAGGGGGAGGTGACTGGCGGCGGCGGCGGCGGCAGCGGCGGCGGCGGCCGGGGCTCGGCTGTCGGGGGAAGCTGCTGAGCTGTGATGGTGATGACGAGGTGAAAATGGCGGATCTTTCGAAATACAATCCCGGCCCCTGACATACCAGAGGCGGCAGCCGCGGCGACATCGCCACCCCGGCTCCCTCCTGGGTCCCCGGGTACCCTGTAGTGCTTCTTTTCGGGCAAACTGGGAAAGGAAGCAGCTGGACAGAGCTACCGTGCACTGGCAAAACAAGCACTTCCCCGGGCACGGAATTGCCCGGGACCTTCTGGAGCCCGCTCCTCAGAGCCGGAGGGTGGAGAAAGCAGCAGCCTCTGGAGGTACAGGAGAAGGGGGGTACCCGGGGGCTCTCTGTCTGCAGAGCTCTTTATTTGGGAGCTGGGGGAGGAAATGCGTTGCGGATCAAGAATGACTTGTCCGGAGTGCAAAGAATCAGTAGCCTCCTAATGACATCAACATTATTTTTTTGAGTATCAAGGGCTGAGTTCGCTTACACCTAAGGCTGCTGCTGAGGCCTAGAGGAACCGCTAGTACTTATCATGATTTCCTGATAGAATACTTAAAATACCCACTCTGGGGGGGTTGGCTGATGGTGTTCAGCAGTTCAGGGAGTTGTGTTTCTTTGGGGGAGGCAGAGCATTGGCATTTTCTTCCACATTTGATGTTGGTGACAAAGCATGGTCTAACTTGTTGGGGTGTGGGTCCTCACCTATTTTTGAACATATGGACCACTGTTGGAGCAATCAAAAAGAATTTATATGGCGCTGTCATCCTTGGGGTGGCACCTTTGAACCGGCCACTTGGCAAATAACAGTTGATACTGTAAATCATATTTTCTGCTCAGTTTTAAAGGGAATTTCTTCTCTGTCTCCATCTAATTTCATGAATTCAGAGAGCGAAGTTATGGAAGATTTTATAATAGGCTGTAAACTACAAGTGAACTTCCATTCTGCTTGTGAGTTAACCTTTACATGAAGCTTGATGCAAGCCTTGAGCACATTAACCTGATAAAGATACTGAAACCTGTTAGAGTGCAGATGCAGCGTCTTTGTCCAGGTAACTGGAGCACTGCCACCTTGATCTTAAGGCTTGATTGACCTTTAGAGTGGCCCCAGCTTACTTTGGTCACCTGAGGGTCCTTACTGTCCTAAGTGTGCTGCTGGGTCCTTAGCCAGTCTCCTTGTGTACAACAGGAATGATACTGGAATTTTGTACGCTGACTTGGGGTCCTCCTTATTTCCTCAACTTCAGTGGTAGAAGGTTGGGTCAGTGACCTTGAATTAGGAGAGCAAACAGGTTGATATTTAAGAATTGCCTACTAGTTATATTTATGAGTAGCTGGAGCTCCAGTGGCGCAATCGGTTAGCGTGCGGAACTTATATGAGTAGCAGTGGATTTTTCTTTCTCAAGTTGTCTACAAAGTAAAATGAAGTACTTCATATATTAACGTAGGGTATACTGTGTATATACAGGCAAATACCTTGTCTGAATGTGTGTGCACAGTCTGGACTTCGGCTTTCACCCACTGGAAGAATGAGAAGCCAAAGAATGTCTAAAGCAGCTGTTTGAAGGGTGCTTAGAAGATTTAATGATTGTTGTTCACTAAAAATACAATTTGAGGGGCCAGCCATATGGCTCAGCGGGTAAAGGCACTGGGCATGCTAGCACTCCTGAACCTGAGTTCAGTCCCCTGGGATGCACACGGTGATAGGAGAACACCACTGTCAACTTGTTCCCTGACTTCCTCATGGCAAGTGTGCTCCCCCAACAAATAAATCAATGTAGAGAATATTAAAAGTGTGTCTGAAGACATAACTCATCCCTTACGAGTGTTGTACCTGTCTGGAGTTCCCAGCACCCATGTGAGGCAGCTTCACGGCTCCTTTGAGCTCCAGCTCCAGGGATCTGATGCCTTCTTCCAGCTTCCTTTGGAACCTGCACACACGTGGCATATACACACATACATTAAAAAATGAATCTTTTTTTAAAAAGAAGAAAACATTACACACACACACAATTTGATCTTGCATTATTCAGTAGAAATCTGTTTTTTTTTTTAAATTAAATTATGCTGCAATTTTTTGGTCCACATCAATTAACTTACTTAGTAAGAATTTTTAAAACTTAAAATACTTTGTTATTTTTAAATGGGGTCTTGCTTTGTAGCCCAGGCTAGCTGTGTGTGTGTGTGTAGGAGTTTTGGCTACATGTATGTCTGTGCATTGCATTCATGCAGTGTCCTCAGGCCTTGAATACTCTGGAGCTGGGAATACAGACGGTTGTGGGCTGCTGCCATATGGGTACTGGGTCCATTGGAAGAGCAGCTACTGCCCTTAACTGCTGAGCCCATGCTCAGGTTAGTTTTACCTACCAACTCTGTTGTCTTTTTTGTTGATTCTTAGTGATTACCCCCAACCCCTCTCCATATTTAGTCTCTTTTGGTATCAAGGTTGTCCTGAAATTTGTATTGGCACAGACTAGCCTCTAACTCCGAATGGCCCTGCCTCCCAAGTGCTGGGCTTAACAGGTATGAGCTGCCATGTCTGGTTTGTGAAACCTTTAAACTATCTTCTCTCTCTCTTTTTTTTTTTT